CCCGCCCCCCCCCCCCCCAAAAAAAAAAAAAAGTGCAAAGAAAAATCCCATGCACAGTCAGTATTAAAATTCAGGAAAAAAATGGTGCAAGCTATATTTATTTCTGTAAAACATTAAAAGGAAAAAGTTTTGTTTGCTTGCACGGGAATAACTCCTGGGGGGGGGGGGGGGGCGACACCCGCTCAATGTTGTAATATTGCAGTTTTGTCAGGCAATTTTAATGACACACTTGTCAGGCAAAATGTATGTAATTCAGCGACAAATCACTAAAAATGACAAAAATATTACTGAAAAAAATTTGGGAAAAGAAATATTTTAAAATTAGCAAGACTAGCAACTGAAAAGTCAGTCGGCCAAGATTTTTGCCACACCCTTTTGGTCAGGCAAAACAAGCTCACACGCCCCCCTCCCAAGTTACGGTCCTGTTTGCTTGCACGTTTTGGGGGGCAAATTGTCACCCACCACCCAACTTCCCGGGATTTCAAATGGTCTGCCCCTTAGTGTTATTTTGAGCATTTTGAATATTTGCAAATAATCATTTTGGTGTAATAAAACCATATTCCATTGTTCATTCATACTTACATCCAATGAGAACAGGTACGGCTTGGGTTTCGGCGTGTAAATTAGCTTAATTCGCTGAAACTCCACCCTAAAATACAAAAAAGCAACGTTAGTTATCTTGGAAGGTTTTCGAAGTATATTTTACAACTAAAACCGTCAGAAATCTGAGCTGGGGTTTTCGCTAAAGCGAACGAAGGCGAAAGCAAATTCGACCACGTGTTTCAACATTCGTCCTGCTCGAGTGCTTGTCTCCCATTATACACGAACGGTGTATTTTTATACCTGTTCTGTCCACGAAGTCACTGTTTCTGTGGAAGAGAAGCTAAGCTTGCTTTCTCTTCAAAGCCAACGCGAGACAATTTTGACCAATTCCGAACGTAACTTTCGGCTTTGTTGAATTGATCTTGTCCACAGATTTCGTCTACGTTTGAACGGTTCAACTCGTCAAAACTCTATCTGAAATAAAACAGAAGCAATGTTAGCTATCGACAAAGGTTTTTAATGCCTTTTAAACGAAATACGCTTGGTATTTGTGCAAGAGTTTTCGCAAAGGCAAAGTGAAATTATTCATGCATTCGACAGGCATCTTACAATTTGTCCTGTTCGTCTCGCATTTAAGTTGAGATGTAAGTGGTATAATTGCACAAAACAAACACGAAACAAAGACGGTAATTACCTGTTTGTTTAACCAAGTTAAATGCAATCTGTAATCTTGTTTTCTTTTCAAAGGCGACATACAGTAATTTGAGGAATTTCAGACGTGGCATTGCATATTTTGTACGCAGCTTTCGTCGACGTTTAAACTGGTTTTAACTCGTAAAAACTCCATCTAAAATAAAACATAAGCAACGTTAGCTATATACGAACGTTTTTAAAGCTTCTTTCAACGAAATACGCTTGATATTTGAGCAGGAATTTCACCAAATCGAAGTTAAACGTGAACGGCAAATTCGCCCACGTGTTTAACTCGTCTCGTAAGTCAGCTCGAATAAATACACAAATAAACATGAAATAAAGAGTATTTTACCTGTTCGTTTCACCAATAAGTGTAGCAGAGAAAGCTAATCAGACTTTCGCTTCAAAGGCGAGATAAATGGAGCAATTTCGGCCATAACTTTCGTCTCCAAATGCTTCGAACAACTTCGCCAGAATAGAATGCTGCCTTCGTCCAGTTGCCCAAACTTTATCCAAAGCACAGAATTTCATATTTTCCGGCTACCTCGTGTAAGAAAATGTAGCGACGCTATTGGCTAAAGCAAGACGCACTGACAGCTCGACTATGGCTCTGATTGGCCAATCCGAGGTACTTTAAATAATTGATAAATTCTCTTGGAATCTGTAAAACCCGGAATGAGAAAAGCCGGAATCTGTAAAACCTGGAATGAAAAAGCCGGAATCTGTAAAACCCGGAATGAGAAAAGCTGTAATCCGCAAAACCGGGAATGAGAAAAGCTGTAAATTGCCCAATCTTTAAACTCGGAATCGAAAAACGCCCGAATCTTTAAACTTGGAATCGAAAAACCCCCGAATCTTTAAAACCTGGAATCGAAAACCCCCCGAATCTTTAGAATCAGAATCGAAAAAAACCCGAATCTTAAACTTGGAATGGAAAAACCCCCGAATCTTTAAACTCGGAATCGAAATACCCCCGAATCTTTAAACTTGGAATCGAAAACCCCCGTATCTTTAAAACCTGGAATCGAAAACCCCCCGAATCTTTAAACTCGGAATGGAAAAAAACCCGAATCTTTAAATTGAGGTCATGTTATGCATGGCATTACAAGCATGTACATTCTGATCACAAACCTTGCATTTTCCTTTTCAAAATTCATTCTCACTCTCCGTGCCTGCGAGTAGCACATCAATCTCCTCGGGATAGCAAATGTCACTCCAGACAACGTTTCCATCTCCGTCCCATCCATGCTCGTCGGGGCTCTCAAGTTCTACTGGTAGCTGATCGGCGTGTCGAAAGATGTACGCGACATAGTTAGCTCTCGTGATGTGGTGATGAAGATTTGACTGGCATGGTGGCATCAGACTTAGGTCGATGATCTTCTTCTTCTTGTTGAACTTGTTCCAAAATGCTTTCTTCCTTGCCTCATTGACTAAGAGGATACGTGGATGCCCGTATATAGAACAGACAAATCATTCTAAACCCCGAACCAACTCCTCGCTTGCTGTCACCTCCGTACCCAAGGATGAAAACAGATCGATAAAGGCAGTGTTCTTGGTCACGGCTTTCCACACGGCCTGCTTTTCCTTTAGAAAAAAGCTTGATACATAATCGTTTCCGGAAAAGGTATGCATTCCCAAAAGAGCTCTTCTGTGACCAAGGGACAAGCTAAGGTTGTTATGTCTATCTCACCAGATGGCGACCGTACCATTGCAGTTGAGCTAGGTGGCAATTGGCTAGCACGCACAAATGCAACGACTTTCGTGTCCGCTTCCTCTCGGTCGCAGGTTAATTCTGATAATGTGGCACACCGACTTGTTGGAAAAGTATATAACTTTTGCTTTTTGACCCGATACAACAGTCCATCGAAGAAGACAAGGACAATTGTAAACTTTTCCAACAAGTCTGTGTGCTAGAAGATCAATCATGATGATGTAGCCACATTACCAGAATTAACCAGCGACCGCGAGGAAGCGGACAAGAAACTCGTTGCATTTGTGCATGCTAGCCAATTGCCACCTAGCTCAACTGCAATGGTACGGTCGCCATCTGGTGATATAGACATAATAACCTTGTTCATTGGTCACGATTTTACGGACACGTAGATTCTGATTGACAATGGCAGCGGGAAGAACAGGAAAATCATCAACGTGACGTCAACTGGATTGTTCCTTGGTTACAGAAGAACTAAGGTAAGGTAACTTTATTTATCCACGGTGTACTCATCAGGATTAAGATTACATACATATAGCTATATATATATATAAATAAATCTACAAAATTATGCATAAAACTAATAACACACTACTTACAATATAAATAACACAATATATAAATTCATACTAAGAAATGACAAAAGAAAAACCTGCTTTACATGAGTGCCGTGCATTAATTAGGTATTACGATCGAGAAGAGAGAAATTTATTACAGCCAGATCGAAACGAATTTAAAGAATTAGCTTGCCTCAACTCAACAGGAAGGCTGTTCCATGTTACTGCACCACTATAACTAAAGGAGTTTCTTAGGTAGTTAGTACGAGGAAAAGGAACAGCAAGTTTGCCAACAGTGTCCCTAAGAGAATAACCCGAAACACAGCTACGATCAACAAATTTTGAACGAAGATATTCAGGAGCCAAACCATTTATCGACTTATAGACCATAATAGCCTGATGAATTTGGCGCTGTGTTTCAAGGTTTTCCCATCCAAGGTCTTGAAGAAGACCATCAGCATTAGTATCATAGCCGGAAAATGTTAAAACCCTAGCCGAACGGTTTTGTAACTTCTGCATTTTAGTAGCAAGAGTTTTATTACAATTCCCCCACACAACACTGCAATAGTCAAAATGTGGTTGAATTAGTGAATGAAAAATAGTATGCAGAGTTGTACGAGGAACAAAAGGCCTGATGCGTTTTAGCGCACCAATGGAAATGCATGCCTTTTCCGGAAACGATTATGTATCTAGCTTTTTTCGAAAGGGAAAGCAGGCCGTGTAGAAAGCCGTAACCAAGAACATTGCCTTTATCGATATATTTTCATATTTGGGTACGGAGGTGACAGCAAGCGAGGAGTTGGTTCGGGGTTTAGAATGATTTGTCTGGGCATCCACGTATCCTCTCAGTCAATGTGGCAAGGAAGAAAGTATTTTGGAACAAGTTCAACAAGGAGAAGAAGATCATCGACCTACGTCTGATGCCACCATGCCAGTCAAATCTTCATCACCACATCATGAGAGCTAACTATGTCGCGTACATCTTTTGACACGCCGATCAGCTGCTAGTAGAACTTGAGAGCCCCGACGAGCATGGATGGGACGGAGATGTAAACGTTGTCTGGAGTGACATTTGCTATCCCGAGGGGATTGATGTGCTACTCGCAGGCACGGAGAGTGAGAACAGTTTGTCCTCCGATGATGACTACGAGGATGATTTGGATGTGGAAATTGAAGACACGAGTGAATTTTGAAAAGGAAAATACAAGGTTTGTGCCGACCAGAATGTACGTGTTTTTTAATGCCATGCATAACATGACTTCAATTTAGTAGTAATAGTAGTAATAGTTTATTAAAAAACCCCTTGCAGTAGAAACTGAATTACAGGTCATTACAAAAATCTTATTTACAAATATTATTTACAGTATATAAAACTTATACAAAATTATCTGAGAGGTGTACATAATTTATTATAGTTAAAAATGAATGTATAACTAGACAATAGAGTTATTAGGTTCAACGATCACAGTTCAGGTCGCATACTTAATGGTAACGAATTTCTGAAACCGGTCTGTTCGCATCCTGATATTCCTCGCAACATTGTCAGATCTAAGTTTATAACCATGGTTCACTGGTGCTGACCGGCTATGAACAATTGGATAGAGTGGGTTTCCAGGTAGGATTGTCTCCACAAATCTCTTACAGGCGGCGTCCCTCCGTAAGACAAGCGTTCGATACCAGCTAGTTTTAGGGCATCATCATAGGAACAGTTAGGGTATATTATGGCCAGTGCTCGTTTCTGGACCCTTTCAAGATCGTCGCTAAAATTTTGAGGAAGGTTGGCGAAAACGACAGAAGCGTATTCCAATACTGATCTTATAATTGCACAATAAACACATAGGATGTCTGTTGGGGCTACCCCACTCCTCTTAAGCTTCCTCAACGCATATAAGCGCCTATTGGATTTCTTAATAATGTATTCACAATGCACAGACCATGTTAAATCACTGGTAACATACACTCCGAGCAGTTTAAATGATGAAACAGATTCCACGCGTGTTGCACCAATGATGATAGGTTGCAAAACACTAGTATTGAAATGAAGAAAGTTAACAATCATATCTTTACACTTGGCAGGATTCAGCTTCATATTGTTCACTTCAGCAAACGAGTGTATATCTGCCACGGTATGATTCATCAAGGAAGGGGAATTTAATGGGGCAACAGTATTGCTTTTTATCAAAAAGAGCAGAAATCACTAGCTTTCTTGCTTGTTTAAGTAGGATCTTCCCAATAGTTTCACTAAATCAAGGATATGTGTATCAAAAGAAGGCTAGAGGTCCCAATATATCTGCGCATATAACTTCGATTTTTGAAATTAGCGCACCGAAATTGAGCAAAATCACCAACTTCCTTGGCTATCTAAGGCACATATATAGGCACCAAAACGAGGCTGTACGCACCAAAACGAGGCTGAAGGCCTCGGTATTTTGCTGTGTAACATCGGATTTTGAAATCAGCGCACCGAAATTGACCAACATCAGCAACGACTTTGCCTATCTAAGCTAACTAATGATTACCCTCTATTTGCACCAAAACGAGGCTGCATGCACCAAAAAGAGGCTGAAGGCCTCGGTATTTGCCCGTGTAACATCGATTTTTGAAATCAGCGCACCGAAATTGACCAAAATCACTGCGTTCCCTAGCTAACTAAGACAACTAACGTCTTCCCTATATATGCTCCAAAACGAGGCTGTGTGCATCAAAACGAGGGTGAAGGCCCCGATATTGGCCCGTATAACATCTATTTTTGAAATCAGCGCCCCAAAATTGACCAAAGTCACATATTCTCATAAATTCCTTGCTCGGGTTACGATACCCCCCTCTCCTCCTGGACTATTACAGTCCAATGTCGCTACCACTGCGGACAGACGGACGGACGACCTATTTTTCTCCGAAGAATGAATATGTTTTATAAACATCATATCCGCGTTTTACCCAATATACATAATATCCGCGTTTTACCCTAACGGGGGATTTCCATTCAGTGAGGAATGTCGCCTGATCGATTTTTTGCGATCGCTTTCTTCAGTTTGAAATGCGTTGTCAATTACAGCTATGATGAGATTTGTTTCGCTTGGCTGTTTGCTGTTTGTATTTCAGGTCGGCACGAAGCTCTAGAAAGATGTTCTGTGACTGGTTGATTATGACAATGACAAAAGAATAAGCTATAGAATGGATTTTCTAAAGAACGAAGCAAGAACAATATTCCTTTTACTATAGGGTATTTCAAAAGTAAGCGATCGCAAAAAGTCGATCGCGCAACATTTTGCACTGAGTGGAAATCCGCCTTAACAAATGGCTTGAGACTAAAGGCCTAATTCCACGACGAGCGAAATGCGAAAACTGGATTTCGCGCGAAAACACAGTTGTGCGAAGTGATTTCCACAGTAGAGAGAAAATTCGCCAAAACACAAGCATTTGATTGGTTTCGCTATTTTGTCATCTAAAACACAAGCATTTGATTGGCTTCGCTATTTCCATTTCGAAACGAATTCAACTACCCGGCGAAGAGAAATATTTCGCAGAGAAACATTCCATAACTAGAGGGCACTCAGAGACTGCATACCTCCGCCCGTTACTCGGAAGTGAAAGGCAACCTTGGAATTTCCTAAGAAATCCACTTTACAATTCTTAAGCATAAAAGATTTCAGGCCCCCGCGAATTGAAATCGAATTGCTAATAGAACATATTACTGTTGTTGTGCTGTACAGTACTTGTAAAATAAAAACTTATTAAGTGTCATTAAATAAATGCATAAATTTTGCTTTATGCACTCGCGCGTGCAGTAATTTTCACAGTTGTGCTATTTTAAATTCCCAGGCAGCTAAAATCTTTTGTCTTTAAAACAATGTCGATTTCTTGGGAAATTCCGAGGTTGCGTTCTTTTTATACACCCTGTATTGAAGTAATCTAATGTTGTTAGAATTTGAATGGACTGGCACTTTGCTGAACGTAATAATGCGTAACTCCGTAAGCCTTGTTTTAGACATTGAATTTCGGTCGCGTGAAATGCAACTAAGACAATAGATAATGAAGGCCGAAGCTTAATGAGGTTTATCATCTCATTATTGTCTTAGCACTGAGTGCATAAATTATACATGTCCTAATTACGCATTCAGTAATATTTTTTGTTAATTGACCGGGAAAAGCAAGACAAAATTTTGTTCATTTCTCGTTCAATTTTTAACCAAATTCAACCAAATTTTAATCAGTTCTTCCTTAGCCGATGGGAAATGCATTCAAAAAATTTCGTACGGATATGTTTGGTATTTCTTGAGTTATCGTGCTCACAGACAAACACACACACATACACACACACACACATACACACACACACACATACACACACACACACATACACACACACACACACACACATACAAACCCAGATGATTACATAACCTCCTGGCGGAGGTAATCATATGTTGCGCATGCGTTCAACCTTTTCGCGCGAAATATTTCGCATTTCGCTCGTCGTGGAATTAAGCCTTCACAGACTGACATTAAATACGGTTGTAAAATCATGAATAATTAATAAGGCCACAAACAAATCACGATGCGGTATTTAGGTCACATGTGCACACTTGTAAACCGCATCAAAGATCCGGCATAAAGTCGTGTTAGAGGGATGTTTATGAAAGTTAACAATACTAATTGAGAAGCAAAAGGCGCTTCAATTTTAAGTATTTGGCTTGGAAATATTTAGAAGCATGGATGTTTATGAAAATAATGAAGCGTGAGATTGTCCCCATGGGCAGAGAATACTATAATAAAGTAAACAAATAAATTCATTTTACAAGTACTAGTTAAAATATGAGCAGCTGATCTTTATGGGCATTTAACAATGGCTCGCACTGTGCGCTCGCCATTGTAAATGCCCATAAAGATCTGCTGCTCATATTTTAACTAGTACATAAAACTCAGTTTATGCTATAATAGCCTCAAAAAGAAAATTAAAACAGTACTTTAAGATCCACACATACAATTAGAAATCACACTAAGACAGGTGAGGTGAGAAACAAAAACTGTTTTAGGAGTCACTGTTAACGAAAAATTAAAATGGAAAGAACATAATGACGCTCAGTGTAAGACACACTCTAAATCTATAGCACTGTTAAAAAGAGCGAGATCATATGTTTCCCAAAACACGTACTCTTGTTAGCCGTTTAATCAGGACTGGTTCTACCCCATTTTGCATATTGTTCAACTGTGTGGAATGATCAGTGGCAGTCGTGCTCACATTGACAAACTCTTCAAAATGCAAAACGAGCCGCTTGAAACTGAGGGGGGTATGTCGAACGTTGCAATCCAGTGTAGGTAGCCAATAACTTAGTAAAATTTCGGCATTGATTGGGACATTTTTATTCGTTGCATGACATTAATAATCCTAAACAAAAAGCCGTTAACTGTATAATATATATCAATGTAAAATCAACATAGAATCAAAGTTCATTCGACTAGAATATACCACTTGCGTTTATAATTATACATTCACAAAATTTCTGTTTTTCAATACGTTTCTCAATCGGCGACTGGAAACTTAAAAAGTATGTTTAGTGCTTTATCTGTAAAATAATGCTAAAATGAAGAGATTTTGGATGGTACGCCAAAGAGAAAATGATGTTTGAAGTTTAGTAAGTTTTGCTTATATTGCTGTATAAATATTTATATAGCGTCATGCACTTTTAAAATATCGTTGATAGGCCTAATTGTATTTTAATTGAAAAATTTTTTACTATTATTTTATGTTTCTCAATCGGCAAACTAATTTAAAAAGGTAGCTATAAACTGTATAAACTAGAGCAGTAAAGAATAAAGCTAAAACAAAGCAGTTGAGAGGTGCGCCAAAACGATTTTCGGTTTTGAACATTTTTCATCGCAAATTTACGCGCAATCTTAATAACTCACGATTTCGAAGTGTATTTCTTGTCCGTGCAGCCCCCACACTATCTGGGCAACGGAGGTAGCTGCCCACGTGGTTCCGGCGCTCCAGAAATTAAACAGCGGAAACCAACTTAATCGAGAGATGAAAGAGATTAAAAATTTCGAGATTTCCTAATTAGGCAACAAAAAATCCAAACCAGAAAACCGCAATAAATTTCGATTAAAACCGAAAACCGCTTCCTCAACTAGACGTGATTTAGGTTAGACCATCCCCACATTGTGGTTTTAAATTAATCCTGCAATTGATTGTAATTTTCAGTACTGTTCCGATTTTCTACAAGCACGTTTAATTAAGACTTAAGTGTTGTTTGTCAGGACAGAACGGAAATTGATGGCAATTCAGAGAAGAAGCGTAATAGCGATTCGAAAATATTATTCCATATATGATTGTGCTGCGTGATTTGAACATATTCTTATGTGTATCTATTTGGTAAATGTGAATATGTGGTTGGATAAAAAGTTTTAAAAATCCACCCCGACGGTTTTTTGCTGCTACTGAGGATAAACTGGGATACGTTTTTTGCATGGCCTGTCTAATGTCTATCTTATCACGCATTCCGGTCTGAGTGGGATTTTCACATCTTGCAGTCAAGGTCACGTATCACCAAAGCCCCCTGTAGCCTATTCATGAATCCGATATAATTTAATGATAATTTATCTAACTTTGCCTTGGTAACAATATTTAAAAAACCCCATCAAATTACTGCGGATTCAGGTAGACCGTTTAATGCGAATAGTTGTCGCGTTAGTTTTAACAGTTGTACGATGACGTTTCTAGGCAGATTTTCGACGTTTCTAAGGCGTGGCTTCAACGTTTATTTTTAAAATTTGAACGTTGTAATTACAAGGTAATTGCCAGATAGTATACTTCAAAATAAGATTTCCGTTTTTATATCAATTTTTTAAATAAGTTAGGGTTAGGTTAGGGTTTAGTTTTGCGTTAGGATGATTTTTTCTACGTTATAAAAATGGAAACCTTATTTTGAAGTATACTATTTAGCAATTACCTTGTAATTACAACGTTCAAATTTTAAAAATAAACGTTGAAGCCACGCCTTAGAAACGTCAAAAATCTGCCTAGAAACGTCATCGTACAACTGTTAAAACTAACGCGACAACTATTCGCATTAAACGGTCTACCTGAATCCGCAGTACTATATATATAAATGAAGGCAGGATTTCTGCGACAGCCACGGCCAATTACTACGGATCCTTCTTAAACAATATTCGATAAATTAGTTAAGTTTACTGAACAGTAAACGGAAAATGACTAAATAAATAAATAAATCAATTAACGAACTGTTCAATGGACCTGTTCAATCAACCAACCAAGAGATCAATAAAAATGTATATAAAAAATGTTTTACCATTGGTACAAGCAAAACCTTTCCATATAAAGAATCGACGTTTCGGTTGAATGCTCTACCTTTTATCAGAACAGTTAAATTCGGGCAAAAACGTGGAAAACTTTCAATTTGCGCAAATTTTGTATGCACGTTTTCGCATGATTCGCGCGCACTCTGTTACCGGAAGACATTCCATATTTGTGACGTCACAGACGGGAAGTCGTTGCTGAAGGCTAGCAACTTTGGTTATGTTTTCAAATATTAAATTTGATAGCTAGCTCAAGTGTAAAAATAATTTACTGTAAATATTTCGGTTTTGGACTGTTTCTCGGCAATCTAAATGCTTTCCAGACATAGAATACATTAATATATATTCCAAAGATCCAACTGAGTAGCGGTGATGATTTTCTATGCTGCCTTTTGTAGGATTTTTGTTGTGTTTATTTTTATTGGACTACGGGTTTATGGCAACGCGTCGAACCACTATACGAATACATGGGCTGTACATATACCGAACGTGGAGCAGGAAAAAGTGAACGAAATTGCTCGTAGACATGGCATGATAAATTTAGGACAGGTAGGTTAAAAACTGTTTAAAATTGGTGTATATACACAAGGATAACCTCATATCCTCTTCGGCATTTTATAATATACAAAGGCTCCTTTTATATTAGACACGTTGAATATTACTAGGTTGGAACGCTAGAAGGCTTCTATCATTTTAAACATCGCGCTTATCCGAAACGAATGAGACGGGGAACTATAGCACACACTTCAAAATTGTCCCGGGAGTTTAAGGTTTGTCAATTGTATTGTTTATGGGGATTATAATGGCCATCGCCTGTCGATGGACGATGGATAGTCGATAGTCATTTGAATACTTGTACGTAGGCACATGCTAAATATGTGTATAAAACATTATTTCTCCTTTTTCATACAGGTAAAATGGGTCGAACAACAAGTTGTTAAAAGACGAGTAAAAAGAGATATTTTATTTCGCGATCCCCTGTGGAATATACAGTGGTATTTGGTAAGAATTTTAATTTTTTTGTGAAATTTACTCTAAATGCAAACAGTTGCATAATTACAATAAAATGTAGCAATGTTCAGTAGGTATTTAATTAATTCTTCAGCAAATCGCTTTTGGGGGTTAAATACGATATTCAAAAGAATTTATTATTGTGGCTAATGTATAGGCTATTTAATAATCAAGTCCCACTAGGCACTAGCCCCAAGCAAATCTAAAATAATATAAGATATTGGCTGCATTATAAATACAGTATTGATATTTATTGCTTGCGTAATACGTTTGCTTATATATCATACAATACACAATACATAGTTGTCTAGTGCATAATTATACAGAAATTCGGTATCTTAGATATGCTTTAGAATAATTAGTAACATTGTAAATATTTGGCTCTTATCATATTGAATGTTTACATATTAAGCATGAACAGATGAACTATTATGCATTTCATTGGCTGATTCTTAGCTTGCAACCAATCAGATCCTTTGTTTATGAGCTTGTTTGTGAATTGCGTATGTACTTTCAACTTTGAAATGAATTTGTGAAAACCTAATATGTGTTTTACCAGGCCTTAAAATATTGGTTGGTCACAGACATTGTCAGACCATTTCGTGAATTGTCTAACATAGAGGGAAAACCACCAGACATTCTGTCCAACCTAAGCAGGGACGCTGGAAAGGGGGGGTGTGTGCAGGGGGGCATCGCCCCCTTACCCTTTAGTAAGGGTGGCAGGCAAAAGTGCCCTTATAGATAAAAATTCTAACCCAAAAATATGAGGTACAACGATTAAAAGTATGAATTACGGGTGAAATGTACGTAATATTGAAATATTCGTGAAATTTTCTGGAATTTGTGTCAAAAATTATGTTTTCAAAATTTTTGCCCTTGTTTTGGTGGATTAAGGTCCCGGAAAAAAATTTCGGAAATGAAATATTAATTAGTGATTGCCCTTACGTCAACATTGTCCCCCTGTGCCCTACCCTCGCTCCGGCGTCCCTGAGCCTAAGTGAAACACTGACATCTATTGTTTGTCCGACCCGAGTGTATTGGTGTCAGATCGAACTGTAGCTTTGTCCAACATAAATCAAAATGTACCCTAGTCCAGGACTAGAGGCTTGTATGTTAAATGGAGAATCAGAGTAGTAGTGTATAAAATGTTGTTTTAATGTACTCGAGAGCGGGTCGGCAAGCGGAATGGTGAAGTGGAAAATGGGCTTAAGTTGTCAAAGTCTTCCTGCTGTTTTTGACAAGCAAGTTAATTTTGGCTTGGAAATAAGTATGAATGACACAAATTTCACAACATTTACCGTTCAGAATTAATACATTATGCTGATATTAATTTGTGTCATTCAGACTTATTTCCTGGCCAAACTGAACTGAAGGTCATCGGACATCATCACTTATGTCCGACCCAAACTCAAAGTCATCGGACATTTTGTCAGACGGCCCTGTAAAAGATATAAAGGCCTGTACATTACCATCCCTGTCTGGCCTAAATGACTTAAATACTACTTAATTTGAGATTAAAAATTAAGGTTAGACAAAAGTCTACATTTATAGAGACAAGGTTCTTAAATAATTAATCTTTCTTGCTTAATTAATATCCTGCACATTTTTCTCATCTTTCATCCATGACCTTTTGAAACCTGAATCCCGCATTTTTTCATACACTTCTTTGCTGCTATCAAAATAAAAATGTCATTCCATGTCCCACAAAACAAATTTTGTTCCCTCTTTGAAGTTCTAATTTTAAAACCAATTTCTTTCAGCATAACAGCAACAACTTGTTTGTCAATTATGATCACAATGTTATACCTGTGTGGAAAACTTTAAACATTACAGGACGCGGCGTGTCAGTGTCAATTCTTGATGATGGTAAGTGTGACTGATATATAATAACAGCTTATCAATCAATATTCTATAATACATGTTGGTAATATGCATTAATTATTTTTGTTTAGGTATTGAAAAAGACCATCCTGATCTGAAAGCTAATTATGTATGTACTGAATGTTTAATCCAGTACTCTCCCCCAATGACAACTAAAATTGTCTGACATTAGACAGAGTAAAATAACAAAGTATGGCACAATGCAATTTAATGGGTTAATGAAAATAGTCTACTTCAGTAAGCAATATAGCACAGATGGTTGTTAACTTCAGAATAGTTGACACTTACAAGAGCAAGCAAATGAAATTCAATATTTCAGTTCTAGATATTGTTTAAAAAAATAACACTACTGCATATAATAATGAACCTTGAACTGTCTTTCATTGGTAGGGATGAAACTAGCTGAAAATATATTATTAAGAAGAATTTCAATGTTTTAAGTGAAGCCCCTTCGTCTGGAGTTCTTATTTTTGTCTCGAGATCTCTCTTCATCTGGAGGTACTCCAGACGAAGAGCCTTCCCTCGAAACATCGAAATTCTGACTTATATTTTTGAACAAGCTTTCATTGGGAGCGATGCAACTTATTATTCAATTATTGGCACTACCTATGAATGGCGCACAGTTGAAGGTTCATTATTATATGTAGTTGTAGTGTTCTATTTTGTGAAACAATAGAACTGAAATATTGAACTTCATTTGCTTCCTCTTGTAAGTGTCAACTATTCTCAAGTTAACAACCATCTGTGTTATATTGCTTACTGAATGACATAGTTGGTTGCATTGGAGTGCATTGCAGCTTGGTTGGTTAATGAATAGAATGTCCATACAAAACTCTCTCTGATAACTGCAGGTTGAGCACAATGATAGCTACATACTACTTTGTTAAAATCACATACCGTATTACGAGTGTACACAGACAATACTACAATATGATTTGCTCAGACATAAGTTCTAAATATTGTTAGGATCCTGAGGCAAGTTATGACTACAATAACATTGATCCCGACCCCTCACCAAGACCGACTTTTAATGATGAAAACAGGTTGGTAATACAACACCTTGAACCTTCGCACTATTTGTTCTCAATCCACACATTGCATATTTTCATAATGGTCTAACCACTATTTTTGTCTCTCTTGTTAGACATGGGACGAGATGTGCGGGTGAGGTTGCGGCAGCCGCTGGCAATAATCATTGTGGTATTGGTGTTGCGTATGGTGCAAAAATAGGAGGTACTGTACTCCAACACTTCAACATTTTCAAATACTGTATATTACCAAATTTGAAAATATATTACTGTATATTACCAAATTTGTGTCAAAACATTCAGGAATGCAACCACATTCCTGTGCTTTTTTCTGCTGAAATGCCGTACTAGTATTCGCCATCTCAGGAATCAGACAGTATAATTTCCCACAGACCAACCAGATGTCGCTATCCAGTTGACATTGTTAAAAAAGTATTAGATTTGATGTACACGGCTGTGTGCCTATTTTTTAACGATTTTTGAACTTACTTTATATTTGTAATGTATGCAGTAGTGTACCTATTTTTTCCTTGTAGTGTGGATATGTCACTATTAGGTCAACATCAGGTTAACAATAGTCACGTCTGTTTATCTCTTGCATTGAATACGAAACTTCTAGTCTATTACTTTGCACTTTCATTTCCCTTTTGCACGTACAGTGTGTTCATAACTATGTATTTAAACTAATAACTATATGAATTATCTATATTCTAAGATTAAATATACTGTACTCTGGTCTATACACTATATATGATAATTGAAAGTCTCCGACATTTTAATATGTAACCGCATTGTCAGGGCGTAGTCGAAACTATAGGATCAAATCGCGAGGAATTTGCATATTTCCCGCAAGGAAACTTCGTCACATAACCGCATAGACTTCGTAATATAACCACAATAAGTTCCTATTATTTTACTATAAATATAGCCTGTGTATGTTAGTTAGACACATTAGAACTTCAGTCTACTGGAGAGTTAACATCGATTGTGATACAGGTGAAGTGTAACGTATCTAATGTCATTCGGTAAAGTCCGTTCTGCGCATCAAAACATTCCATCAGTGGGGGAGCAACCTTTGGAATGTTGTTAATATTTCGCACCTTCCGAACTTTCTTGAATTGAATCTCTAGTCTGTATTCATTTACAAGCATAACGAACCAGAAAAGTGTTAAAAATTCAGTATAATATATATCTAATCATATTTTACAACTGTAGCACTGAGTTCAAAATGTAAACAAAGCGTTTGTTTACATTACGGACTTTACATCACCTTTAACTATAGTTTCCAGGTGTCGGTTGTTGGTAATGGTAATGGTTTATTAAATAACTCTTTGCAGAACATTTACATCTGAATTACGAGTTACGTACATGATTAAAAAATAGATTATGTTATAAAACCTAAATTATATACAAATATGTAATTATTAAAAGGATATATATATATATATATATATATATATATATATATATATATATATATATATATATATATATATATATATATATATATATATATATATATATATATATATACAGGATCTTAGCTAGAGGGCCGTGTTGGCCGTGTTATCGCGGCCAAAAGTGCAAAAACACGGCAAGATGAAATGAACGCGGCTTCACTATTTATATAAGGCCGTGTATTAGTGATAGGTTCATAAAATAAGGTGGTGCTATACTTACAACAGACAGAATTTCTTCCTATTTACGTCAAGAAAATTTGTAGAATCTACTGTTGTTGTTGAATTGGCAAAAGTGATCCGTGATGTTTTAATGTTTTGATGGATAATGGGAACTGTATGGTGTTAAAATGGTTTTAAATACCCCCAATAGTTGTTGAAATTATAACTTAATTGTCAGTGCGCAATATGAGCGTATGCTCGCCTTGTATTTGGTTGCAAAGCATAGAACAACCACAGGCATTGTTGTTGGCGAGCATAACTAGAGCCATTATTTTGCTATTCAAAGTAATTGACATGTGCACGCCCTGGTCATTAGAAACACGCCCAAGATCTAAAATCCTAGCTAAGACCCTG